CAGCTCAGAAATACTACATTGCCTTCATCCACAGCACAGTCCAGTCTCCCTGTGTGTCCAACAAAACCTGCACTAATGGCAATGGAAACCTTTTCTTTCTGTATTTTCCATGATGATGATCACTGCCTTTTAAGCACTAGTAAATTAATCTTCCAAACACCCTTGCATTATTCCCAAATTAACTTACAAATTTAGGAAAAAGGAATTGAGCCAAAGATTCGCAAATCAATCTATTTATTTATTTGTTGCCCTGACGTCTAAAGGAAATAATGTTTGTATGACTCTGCCCACTTCCATGCCACCCTTCCCTCACAAACAACCTCTGATATATTTGCCAGTTTTGGTGAGGTTTTTATCAAGGGCAGAGGTCTCGGGCATAGTCAAGCTCCTAAAAGTTTAGTGAAATATGAAGTGGTTTCATCAGGATAAATAGTACTGCATAAACATGCACCTTCTTAGACATCAGTCAATCAATTCTTGTGACCAAGTCTAGAGGAATTTAGGCTCTGCTTGGTCTACTAGCTCATGAATTAACTAGAACTGCTCAGCATTAACAGTGTGCACTGATTGCTCTACAGCAACTGCCAACCAAAAATCAGTCCCACATTACATGCTGAGCACTACAGAAATTAGTAGATTCATGACACCTGCAAAGAATAAGTTATTAAGCCATTTTTGAACCATCTGGCTAAAACATTGTTTACTCCACCAGAAAAAAAAATCTTAATAGATTTGTGCCATGGTTCTAAGGAGTAACAAAACATTAGTTTGCACTTGATTGATTTATATCTATTTATAGTGATTTATATGGCACTTTTTAAAGAAGTTGCTGTAGACAGTTGGAAAAACACCACAGGTAAAGTAGTCTGGAAACAGCAACCCACAGAAACTAAAACAGAAAAGAGTCAGATAAGCCAGAACATGCATGTGATTGTGGTGTGCATACCCTTACTACTTTATCCTTCATTCTTAGAGTGCCCATATAATAGTTTCTGTTGCTTCCCCATATTTCCTACAATACCTTTCCAGGCCGAAATTCCGGGAAGAGCTCTGTAACACTTGGCAACTGTTTGGCGGCATCTCGCTGCATGATTCCTGCAAGAGGAAGTGTGAGTTTGCCTTCCTGGCTTCTTGAGGTCCCATCTCTGACTCAGAATCAGAGCTGCTGCTGAAATCCACCTTGCCGGAGGCAGCAGAGGAAGGAGCAATGATGGAGGGCAAAATGATACCATCTCCATCTTCAGATACTACAACAGAACAAGCACCTTATAAACAGTCACATTTCCTCCCTGTCCCCTAGCAGAACCCAATAATGCCATATGTACTGTTTATATCAAATTAGGCACAGCTTAAGTCTTCGTAATTGTTGCAAGTACCATTCCAGTTTAACTTGTCATTTTATCCTAAGTGTTCCAGGTGAAATTCCCAGCCACAACTGAGAGAACGAGATAAAAAAAATGAATTTTATTGTGAATATCAGTATTTTAACAGTCATTGGACATACAATATTTCACTCCGTATTTTACCTAAGAACTCGCTTCAGAGAGTCCCATCTCATCGCGCATCTGGAAAAAGACCCACCTTCAGATGCAGTCTGCAGACAGAACTTTGATCACGTGTGGGTGCTGGCCGCAGACTGAACTGCTGTACAGCTGTGTTTGCTTTCTTCAGACCATTGCCAGAGAGAAGAAAGGCCTCACTCACCAGAGGCAGCTGCATCTTTCTCATCTTCTTTCTTCCCAGGTACCGGAGGTGGCGGTGGTGGCGGCATCAACTTGGAATCAATATCTTCACAGTCAGCATCATAATCATCCTCATCTTCATCTAACCAGACAGCACACAAGCATATCATTAGTCTTATAAGGAGAACCAGACACCCTTCCCCAGCTACAACATCCTCTCTGTTGGGACAGATCATGTCTCAATATAGAAGAGATCACATTTCCACACTAGCTTAGTGCAAGTATTCTCTGCAGGGGACCCCATGGCAAAAGAAAGATTTCCCTTCGGAGTGTAGTTTAACTTTGAAAGCAACTCAGTCATTTAAAAAAGAACTTATCTAAAAGAGCTTTTATCTAGTGAGCAAGGTTTCCCAGAAGCTTATATGCTTGAAGCAATGAGCGAAAAGGGAACAATAACACACCCTTAACAGAGCCAGCATCAAGATCAAGTGCCCCTAAAACATATCACTAGTTGACAGCCATTTCACTCTCTTTTAAGCAGCACTTATCCCATTTACCTGGTCTTCGAACTGGTTGAAGGTTGCCCATTGCCTGCTTATACCTTCGGCTCTCATCTTCGGCCACTTCATTAATATCTGAATAATCAACAGCATCTTCTGTGCTCTTAACCCAACCTGAGAAGAGAGAAAAAAAGAAATGTAGTCACACAACACTGAATTTCGATATATATGACTAACATCTGACTTCACAGTGCACATATGACTCCTTCTTTACATTTCCTTTTCACAGAGGAACAAACATCTGATTAACTTTTCCCACCAGAAGATTCTTTCCTTTCAGCTCCAAAACTTTGCAGTTTCCTACAAACAGTGCTAAGAAGAAACCAGGTTTAGCATAAGAGACATCCTTCACTTACTCAGTAAGACTCTTCAACAAACTCAGGAATAAAAAGAAATAGTAACAAACCGGGCACTGAATAGGGCTATAAGAATTTAAAACAGAGAAAAACATAGAATAAATTTATTTACGAGGAAAAATAGACAAGAAGTGAAAAACTAAAGAGAAAAGAATATGTGCAAAAGGGAGCAGGAGCTAAGGCAGGACTACCTCTGTCAAGAAAAAAGGAGGTGAGGATTCTGTTAGATGAAAACAGAATAACATCATGTTTTTCCTTTCAGTCTTAGAGGACCCGGGTGTTTCTTTCCCTCCAATAAGAGCTCTCACCCCACAGGTTCTCCATGATGACAGCTAACCCAGGGCCTCACCTTCCTCATCCAGGTGGGCTCCATCAGCCTCTGTGCTATCATCCTCGCTGGCTGTGATCTCGGTGATCAGGTTGCCCAGTCCCAGGGCACCCAACCCAGCTAGATGCTTCTTGGATTCCTGGAGGGACCAAAATCATATCCCAGCTCGGAGAGTCCCCAGCTCGCCCGGCCAGGCTAGGCCTAGAGACAGCACTGGCTGCCTGGGCCTGTCCCGGAGCCCAGAGGTTTGGGATCCCCCTGGTCTGGTCTTGGCAGCAGCCTGTGGCACCTGCAGCCTTCCTGCTCCCGGCCCGTCCCTTCCCAGAGCCCACACTCATGGGACCCCTGTGTCAGGGACCCACACCATCCCACTGATCTCATCCCATCCCAGACCCTGAATCACCAGGCACCCCTATCCCAGGGCCCACCCATGCGACCCCCATCTCAGACCACATTCCCAAGCCTGCAGCCCCAGGACCCTCTTATCCCACAAGCCCTTCCCAAGCCCACACCACCGGGACCTCCAGACTGGTCCCGGATTCCACTCCCCCACCTGAGCTCCTGTCCTGAGCCCGCTACACCGGGACCTCCCGCAGACCCACACGCTCCCTGAGCTCACACCAGCGGGTACCCCCATCTTGAAGCCCACAGCCCCGGCCTCCTCATCGCACCCAGGGCACCAGGCACCCCGGAGCCCGCACCCACGGCACCCCTGGCCCCACAGCCCGCGCCCACGGGACCGATCCCCTCCCGAGAGCCCGTCCCAGCGCCCGCACCCACGGCACCCCGCCTCAGAGCCGTCCCGGAGCCCGAGGCAGAGCGCTCGGCTGCGCAGAGCGAGGCGGCCCGCTCGGGGCGGGCGCTACCTTGTCCAGGACGCTGTCGCCCTCCAGCTGCCCCGCCTCATTGATGTTGCCGAAGAGGAAGCCGGCGAGCGAGAAGGGCTCCGCGCGGCCGCCCTCCGCCTCCTCGTCGCTCTCCGAGTCCGACATCGCGGCGGCGGCGCCGGAGCGGAGCAGGGCGCGGGGCGGAAGCGGAACCGGGACGCGGAACCGGGAGGCGGCCCCGCCGCGCGCGCCCCCTGCCGGCGCGGAGCCGCCGCCGCCGCCGCCTCGGGCTGACGAGCGCCGCCCAACGGTCCTAACGGCCCCAGCTGCCGCCTAACGGTCCTAACGGCCCTAGCTGCCGCCCAACGGTCCTAACGGCCCCAACGGCCGCCGCCCAGCGCTCTCAACTGCCGGCCAACGGTCCTAACGGCCCCAACGGCCGCCGCCGAGTGCTCTCAACCACCGCCCAACGGTCCTAACGGCCCCAACGGCCGCCGCTCAGCGCTCTCAACTGCCGCCCAACGGTCCTAACGGCCCCAACTGCCGCCCAATGGTCCTAACAGCCGCCACCCAGCAGTCCCAGCGGTCCTAACGGCCGCCCAACCACCACCCAACGGTCTCAGCAGTCCTAACCACCGCCCAACGGTCCCAGGGGAGACCAAAGAAGTCACCGGCTTCCAAGTTCACCAAAAATCGTTTATTGCATTTAAGAGACAGGATCTGGCTTTCCACAGGAAAGAACTACGTTTAAAACAGCTGCGTCAAGGGAAAAAAAAAGAAAAATACTGAAGGAGTTAATGAGACAGCCAGAGAGATGAAGAAAGGTTTATTACAATTTAATCTTGCATAATTTAAAAAAAAAATCTTTTAAAAATTGTTAGCTGTAATACATTTTTTTCTTATATAGTATAAAATCAAGTTGCCAGTGTATGTATCAGTACCACACTTAAAAAGTCTCAGGCTCCCGCCGCCAAGGACACTCGCGGCATCCCGCTGGCGCCAGCCGGGGAACCCTCCTCCGAGATCCATCTGCTCCTTTAGGTTAGCCCAAGCAGCACCACGATTCATCTACACAGCAAGGATTAGCACTCAAAGCACAGTGAGGCTTTCCTAGTTTAAATTCCATATAAATAGCGACAGCTGTAAACTGAACAAAGCGTTGATACATCTAAACATGCCTCATAACATCCTTTGGACACAGGGTTCCTGGACTGCTCAACTCGGTGTGGATGGCTTCAAAAGGAAAACAGGAAAAAAAAAATCCTTGCGTATTTGAGAAATTATTCACAGGCTGAAAGATTAAAATGGGGCTCTTGGTAGAGTCTCTTCTGTGAATGGTAACACACTACGTTTCCACACAGCAAGAAATAATCTTGAGCAGTTTTGGAAATTCTCATGACTTCCGTCACATAGGTGGATTTTGTCTGTTTTCATAAATGAAGTTATGGGTGTTTAAAGTCTGTATTTGTTACCTATCCACAGGAAAAAAAAATAAGAAAGAAAAAAAAAGGAGCAGGAAGAAGGGAATGGATTGTAGACTGAAATGCTGGACTGCTTAAAATGCACTAAAAATTACAGAAAAAAAAAAAAAAGAGGGAAGATCATAACTGAGAGAATGCCCATTGAATGGAAAAGTTCATTGGATATATGCACCCCTGGAATCCTTTCACATGGAAATCAGATGCTGGAGTAAATGAACTGTCAAACCAGCAGGATTTTTGCTCCTCTTGACAGAAAGACACAGAAGTACAAGGCATTTGAATGAGCCTATTAATGAGGTACTCTGAAAACAGTAAAAGTTTTCATGGTTCTGTTCAAAGTTCACTCTCTGCTTATTTTCCTCACAATGATATTAATCTCTCCGGTACTGTTGTGCAATCTGTTAAGTTATCTAGATAGGGATAAAGTGTTCTAGTATAATGCAATCAATTCAAACAGATTAAGTGGTAGTTTCTCTCTCCATGCCCTCTTCCAGTTAACACCAGGATGGCAGCACCGTGAGCCTACAGAAACAGGATGTGGGTGACAGTATTTGCTCACAGGACTTCTCCTCCATACAATTATTGTCATCCAGTTATGAATATCCACAAAAGATGCAGAATTACAAGATTTCAGTATCTAAAAGAGTAAAAACTTAAAAATAACAGCAGTAGCTTCAGTATAAAATTGCAAATTTGTGTAGCCAAAAAGAGAGGTGCCTGTTGTTGAAATAAAAAGTCTCTTTAAGAACAGTTCAAATGTATCACAAACCTTTTCAAAACATATCTTTGACTTAAGCAAAAGTTACGGGCTTGCACCAGGGTAACCAGAACATTGATTTACGCCTGACCTGCATTAAAAACATGCACTGACTTAAATAAATATATTTTAAACAATGATAAACTATTTACTCTGTTACTGAAATTTACCTACAGAACAATAATCTTGAATTACAAGGCACAGAATCATTGCTGCCTACAAGTCAAGCCCACGTTAAAGGCTACCTATTAAAATAAAGGCAGAAAGTGGCGAGTAGAAGTTACATCACTGAAACACTCCTATTCCCTTACAGCTTGCAGAACGCTGCAGCAGGAGCCGCACCTGGGACAGCACTCCCTCTACAAGTGCAAAAGATGCAAAGACACTCCAGAAAATGGCACTTGGTGAGGAAACAAACAGAAGCCTCTAAGTTTCTAGAAATATCAGGCATTACGGATATTTTGGTGTTGTCTGCAATCAGGTAATGTTTGGAATTCAGTGTTGCTTCACTAGCTACATACACCAATATTTGGATAAACTGCAGTTTTTAATTTTCAGGTTGCAGAAGCAACCAAAGCAACACCAGTATAAGCATACATCAGATATCCAGAAATTGTAGTTAGTGTCGGCATCAGTCACACTAGCTGAAGAAAGGCACATCCTCTTCAGAGGGGAATGATGGCACAAATGTGAATGTGTCTCCATCTACCTGGTATTTCTGTCCGTATCAGATAAACCAAGGTTAATTTAACACAAGATCCCTAATAACATGTTGATGTACTTTCTGCTACCTTGCTAAAAATGAGACTTTTTTCTCAGGTCGTACACATGTGGAAATCCTAAGAAAGCAACTTCTGAATTACTGATTAAGGCGGCATCTAGACAGACACCACTGCCAATCTAGACAACAAAGTCCAGGCCAGCACCATTGGTTTCATACAAGATATCTTGGAAGTATTCTTTTTTCACATCACCGAGCTCCATAGGTTAAGGAAGGTTTCAGGTGCTCATATCTCAGCTGGTCCCAGAATCACACATAAGAAACAGTGCATATTCTGAAAACAAAAGTCAGCAGCCATTTGCTACAGCCACTAGAAAAAGTTAAAAAGTACATAAATGGAACATCAGATAAAACAGATTATATTATGTGATCATCTGGAAGATGGGAAAAAATGCCCAGGTAAATCTAGCAGTGACTGGCTAACGATTAAAAAAGAATTAACTGAAACTATTAGTGAGTTGCCATGAAGAAATGATGGCTCCTGATTCCTGTAAAAAGAGCTTCCAAAATTTAGGTCAGTGATCTGCCAGAAATACAGCAAAGGAACTTGCCATGAAATCCCATGTGGTGACTCCCGAGAGCATTAAGAATTGAAGCCATTAATTCCTCGAGAGCAAACCGGCTTCTGTAAGTCTCTGGAATTCATCAAAAGGAAAGTGGGATCACACCAAAAAGCTTGTTTTGGGCAGCATCATCCCAATTACCTCAAGCAGATAACCATAACCTTATTCTCAGAATGTAAAATCTCATTGGAAAGCGAAATAAAACATTCATTCACTTTAGAGAAGATTGCGTAAGGCTTCTTGCTAAACTACTTTTCCATCTCTCCGTTCAACAGCACAAAAACACTCATTTGAGTGATTTACCATGATCCTAAATTCTTTGTATTAAGGGAAATCAGTTCCCACTTCTATTAGTAAAATCATTGCAGGTGTTCCCTGTGTCTTGCTCATTGGACTAAACACACAGCACGTTAACTTTCACATAAATGATCACAAATTCACTATCGAGTGAAGCTCAGTAATATCACAGGCATTTGTGCATGTAAACAAATGGTTTTCAAGCTTTACATTGACAAAACAACATTTGGAGAGCCCAAATTCCGTTTTCTAAAACCAAATTGATCAGTAAAGACAGGATAGGAAAAGCAGCAGCTACACTTAAAGCAAAGTTATCAGAATTTGTGCTTTTCAGCAAGTTCAGTAACCGATGGTTGTCTAGTAAAGAACACTGGCTTCGAAGAAGTCCCTCCTTTTTTTCCTTCCTCCACTTAATAAGCCCAGTGATCCCCGGAGAAGCTGGAGACTAAAACTTCAGAAATTAAGTAGATGTCTGACCTCTCAGTTGGAAGGAAAAAAAAATAAAAAAAAAGAAAAGAAAAAATTCTTCTTTTTCAGTTTCCCTGAAGCAATAAGCCTGCAAGAATATTCTTTGCATAAACCATTTCTGCTTAGAGCTGTTAGTGCAAGATGCAAATCTTCAACTTAACTCAAAGAGACCTCCGAGATTTTAGTCAATATTCAACTTTGAACGCCCATTAGCCGAGGTAACTACAATAAGACACATTTTCTTGTGTTCTTCTTTGTCACAGGATACAGAACTGCACGCACAGCTTCAGCAAACACCTCCCGAACACCCTCCTGATTCAACGCTGAGCACTCCAAATACTTGACTGCTCCAATTTGTTTAGCCAGTGAAGTCCCCTGTTGCGGGGTAGTGGGAGCCAAGCTTTGCTCTTTCAATTTTTTAACGGTTTCCAGGTCACTTCTCAAGTCTCTCTTGGTGCCCACTAAAAGAATGGGAACATTGGGACAATGGTGAGAAACTTCAGGATGCCACTTGTGCCTCACATTTGCATAGGAAGAGGGGCTGCCAATGGAAAAACAGATGACAAACACATTGGTTTGAGGGTAGGAGAGCGTGCGCAGGCGGTCGTATTCCTCCTGGCCCGCCGTGTCCCAGAGATTCAGGCTAACTGTCCGCCCATCGACAGTCATTTGGGCGCTGTAGTTGTCGAACACTGTCGGGATGTACTCCTCCGGGAAGGCATTGGTGGTGTAGCTGATGAGAAGACAAGTTTTGCCCACAGCACCATCTCCAACAACTACGCACTTTATCGTCTGCATTCTTTACCCAGAAAAGAGCACCTGCACAGAGCGAGAAGAAAAGTTAGGAAAAAGTACATTCAATGCTAGCGATTTTAAAGATAAGCTTAACCAAGTGTTTTGAATGTTGCTAACCATTTATTATCATGGCCACAGAATCCATTACAAAGAGCATATAGGCTAGAAAAGCAATAGTGAAAGAGTAAGCTGAAAACTCGGTGACAACTGGCTGCATGTGAGTAAATTATGAGTAAACCATATGAGTAAAATTAGCCAATTTCTCAGTCTAGCCACAATCAGCCAGTTTCCCACAGTCAAAGGGGACCTGTCTTTAGAAGGTACCTGCAAGTGGAAAGAGAGGGTGGCCTCAGGCACAATAGCAAAATACTCTGTCACTTGCAGGCTACACACAAACACATTCTGTTTGAACTGACACTTCCTGACTACATATTCTACTGTAGAAATTGTTTACCACAAAGAAAGCAGGGTAGAATTCTATAATAAACTGAGATGTCTATTTCTGGGCTGCAGTAATATTGTTTGCTAGAAAAACAAATCACTGAACTCAGCCTCAGTTCGACCTCAAGAAACTGCAGCACGGAGAGGACACCAGATAAAAGGTTCAGAAAGTAGCACTTACAAGAAAAGCTTTGAGGTATAGTTAGCCATCATAGATTAGAAAACACAAAGAATTTTGCTAAAGAAGCCAAGAACAGATTATTCTCACTAATCAGTGACAGAACAAGCAGAACTTAATAGGCTTGAGCTACAATAAAGAAAGTTTATACTGAGCATTGGAAAAAACACATGCTATGAGACAAATAAGTAACTTTCCTAGGCACGTTGTGGGACTGTTGCTGGTGATACGGCATGTGTAAAGGCTTCCCTATCCCTCCCTGATACCTAAGGAGAAGGAATGATAATCAAATAGATACAGCCTAAAATTCATTCCATTCTAACTCTTTATCACATGCACAGCAGCAACTTTGAACGTAGCGTGAAACAACCGCAAGCAGCTCATATGTTCCATGCTGCAGCCTCCACTGCTAGCCCGAACAAGAAGGAACTTGCACCTGCCTTCTCACCTAGATGCCTTTGAGGTACTATCTGTGAGCCCCAACTTGCAACCGGCAGAAAAAAACCCTGCTTCAAACAGGAGAAGGAAAAAAAAAAACCAGTGGGAGGGACTACTGCACATTCCAGAAGAATCACAGCTCAGACATCACTGGAACAGCAATGGGAGCACATCAAAATGAGCACTGGTGAAGTCACAAAATATCTTTCAAACAACTTCCCCTTCAAGCCCACCCAAACAAACCAACGATTTTATACTGTTTAAGTCTCAGCCCTGTCCTTTTCAACACAGTGTGCACCTATGCACGTTTGTCTTCCCACAGCAGGTACATGCAGCTCTTCTGTACTAAGTGCAAACAGTTTTGGGACAAAGTTGCAACAGGCAACTCAGGTGAGCGATGCTGCTTGTGCTCCCTGCAGCACACAGGGCTCCGGGATGTATGAAAATACCTACACATCCATTACTGAAAATCAAGCGCTTGCGAGAAGCAGCTCAGGGAAACTTTGATCCTCCAACACCCTGCAGGGGAGGAAGTTGGAGGAGAGAAGCAGGAAAAAGACACAGAAGCAGCTTATCTTTTGCAGAAACAGCAGAAATTAAACTTCTGCAACAACGTGAATCATCTAAAATGAAACCAAGCAGGCACTTCGGAGTTTTAGCAGGAAATTACACACGTGAATTCCACCAGGCATTAAAAATAGCAGCCAACCCACTCCAAGGCTGCAGTCAAGTCTAAGTTGATGTATGCAACTACAAATTGCAAAGTTAATGAATGAAATGAAAAACATCACTGACCAGTGGAAACTTACAGCAGGACTGCATGCAATATCCCAGAATAGTTGCACGAAGATTTTATTTAACAGGGCTAGGAGAAAATAAATAAATAAAAGTAAGATCTCTTAAATTAGATGTTTAAAAACATTTATTGCATTTTGCAAAACTCGAAGTTGAAACCTCTTTAATAAAAAGTTACTTAAAGCATTACAAATTAAACATTTTTAACATTTTATTATTAATCGGGGTTGAACACTGTTAATGACAACACAATGCAGCATAGTATTTTCAAACCCAGAAGTTTATCTGTTGCAAACAACAATGGAAAAGCAGATATATTTTAAAGTCATAACACTGTACATCTTAAAACATGAGTGTAACTCGCACCATTCCAGTCCCTGTTTCTGTTTCCCCTCTATGGCAGATCACTGCCTGCCCCGATGCCCCATCTGGCTGCAAAACTTACAGAAAACTTAGCCGTAACCAGGAACAATGATAAAGCACCATATATTCCCCAAATGAGTTGACTGTGCAACAGGCAGCTGTTTGGATCAGTAGATAAAGAAGTGGCATCACGGAGACAGCAGAGCCACTCTAGCCGGAGACTTGCATTATAAACTCAAGAAGATTAACAGAAGTCACAGGAAGAATAAGATAAACAAAATCTTTCATGTCCAGATCAAGGTTTCTAAAACAACTACAAAGACTTGAAAATAAATCGGTGTTTAAAGCACAAACCACATCTCCCCTAAGGGCTAGTGTCTTGATTTATTTCGGTCCAGGTTTTTTTTTTTACAGAAATACGAAGTACCCCAGAATTGCACCCCTATTTGCACAAGACACATCCATGTTCTGCAGTGTCATCACGCCAACATCATGATGCAATACCAGCAGCTTTATATATTGCTACACTATAAAGTCACGCAAACCCTGAATCATACATAGATTAAATAATTCAATCCGTTCCAAAATTTTCTAACAAAAATACAATTCAAAAAGCTACCTTATTTTGTTGGGACTTTGCTTAGGAATTCATTAGAGCTGTTGACGGAAAGCAGGGTAGTAACAAAGAAGCCTGAATACGACTGCTCTTTTACAGCGTTAACATCGCCAGTTACTCGACTAGGGCTTGGATTTTAGAAGAATCTCATTTGCAGTCAGAAATAATTCTGTGCAAACGTGCCAAAACATCAGACTAAACATGAACTCCACACACACAAATAAAGAGCCTGTAGGCTCTGAAGTCGGCTCCTCTGCAGGCTCTTAGCTAAAAGGAATCATTTGTGGCAAGTGCTGCCTAAGGAGAAAAAAAACAGGATTCACATGATTAACTAACTACTAGAATGCAAAATTTAGAGGCATTAATCACCACAAAGGACAGAAGGAAGCTCCTACACTCCACAAGTCTGTAGGCTACGAGCAGGTGTAGTTTGGTTAAAGATTTACATGTGGAAGACAAAGGATTTAATTTAAGCCACAACCAAGCACACAATATTACCTCTGTCTAACCTTCTGCTATTAAATCCACAAATCACTTTGCTTGTAATATACAAAGTCTCTCTTTAGCTCTTCTTGTAAATAATTTGCATGACAATAAGCATCTCCCAAGAGCACAAGAAGATGATTTGCAAATTTCTGCATGGAATTTTTTTTTTTTTTTCCTCAAGCACCCTTCAGCTTGGCACTGTCCGCTATATGATTTTAAATACATGAAAAAAAGAGCATCAATGAAAAGGAGCAAAAGCAGAAAGATTATTACAGTTTTTTTTTTTTTTTTTTTTTTTTTTTTTTTTTTTTTGTGGTAGGCTTGAAAATAATTTTTAGGAAGAATTTTGGAGAAAGTAAAGAAACAAAGCAGGATGGCTCCATATATACAGTAAAATACAGATTAATATCTTAACACATCAAAACCCAGATTGGGAATTTAGACACAAAGCTGGGCATAATCTTCAAAGGCAAGTTTAAAGGTTACTCGGCAAGAGACGGGAGCCAACACAGAGTCCAAAGGAGTGAGAGGTAACTCCGGAACTCTGGCTGCGGAGTTCTGGATTTTGCCAATCAGCAAAGGCCACCAGCGAGATGAGAAAATGGACCTTGACTGTGATTAAGGTGGGAGATCCTCGGAACATAGGCATGAGCTGCAGCAGTCACATGAAGTGTCATGCAAAAACAGGTGGGTGAGAGTTATTTCTATCTTGTCCATCAGAGCCTTTGAAGGAGAAACCTGCTCTTGCCGTTTGGGTTAGCGCTGCTCGGAGGATGCCGCGAGGATCCTGAGGAGGATCCTGTGCTCCGCATCCGCACACCTGGAGCCGCCCCTGGAATGCGCGAGATTTCCATCTACGTGTCGAGACATTGTCTGGAGAGCTGCTCCTGACCTAATTACATACCTGATGCTATCACCAGCACGGACAGTTTGCTCCCTTGCAGCACTACGGGACATTTGCTGGAGAAATTTGCTATTGGGGCTCTCCTTCTGCCACCCCCGTTCCTAAGCTATAGGTGAAACCACACTTAATGTTACATCATTTTTTTTTGTGGGGAAAAAATTCTTCCAGATTTTCCCCTTTAATACAACTGAAGTAGAGTTCTCTGTCCGTTTAGGAAAGGGAGAAATCAGTGACAGGAAAACGAGGAGAAAACACAAATCTCATTTCTTTTGGGGCTTTCTAGCTTTTCCTTACACTTTTTAGACTTCCTGCACTTTGAAAATTCTTGGCAGCTGAACTAATTCTTAGCAGGATATATTTCTGCCCTTGCAACATTAATGCTAGGAGCCTTTTTTCTGCCGGGTGAATTTTAGCTTTGATATTGCTCTTTACAGATCTCATTTTGAAAGAGCTTGTCAGGTCTTCCACCTCTCGCCTTCCAGTTCGGATAGGCCTGTTTTGGCCACACATGAGCAGAAAAACACTAGGAGTTGGGCAGAAGCCTCCTGCAACGAGCAGGAGCCCTGCGCTGTTCTGCTCAGCCATCACCTTTGATCTATCCCTCCCAGTTCTGCAGGCTCAGAAGTTTGATCCTGCTTTATCAGGAGCAAAGAGAAGCAGAAGTTAAGAAATCTAAACAACTTAATTGCTCATCTCCCAGTAACAAAAACGAGAGATGATTCACGCTGTCCACCTGACACAGGCAACTTTCAGCACAGAATCGGAAGGATAACACAGCTCTAACTCCGTCCCTCCGACTCTGCCCATGGAAAGGGGATTCAAAGGCTCTCGATTCATGCAGTTTAGCCACCAGAGCTTACAGGGAAGAGAAAGGAGCTTTCAGCAGCTTAATCAAGACTGTGTTACTATCCCATAATAGCTTAGCTTACTCTCCATTTTTTTTATTCAAGTGCCAAAGCAATGAACAAGTGCCAAACTTTCAGAATGTATCTACAGATGCATGCCAAGAGGGAGCACTGAAGTTAAATAGGAGACCTCATCCCTAACACTCGCGCTCTTCCTTCGGCAAGGAAGGATCTGCTGGAGCTTCCGAACGCCTCTCAACGCTTTCACACCCGTTTCTGTCCTGTCATTTACCTGCGCGGTCAGAGGAAACACAGGACAGCCACAAAAGCACCAAAGCACAGCAAGCTAGCAAAAGGGCTGCATAAATATGAAATCACACTAAAAGAGGGGCATCTGTACAGACACGGTCACACGGGACTGAGCTCTTGAGCACGAGGAGACACCTGAATCCCGGGCGCACAAAAATGAAACGGATCTTGCCACAATCAAAAGCCGATTAATATAAATTTTGATTTTCCTCCCACAAGCACATGTGAGAGCAGGGATTCTTTGGGATGGCTCTTCTCAGAATTCCCTGGCACAAGAGCGAGGCCTTGAGGGTGGTAAGACCGGGAGTCCGGGCTGCACCGTTGCCCTCCCACACCGGCTGCTCGCATCCCAGGAGCTGCAGGCAGCGTCCACAGCGCCCCAATCCCTCAACGCACACTTCATAAAGAGCGACTCTTATTTATTACGGCCTTTATAAAAATAAAAGAAAAAGAAAAGGGAGAGACGAGAGAGAGTGATAGGGAACATCTCTGACTTGACGCCAGGTTCTGATAGGAAGAACATTAAACAAATTGCAGGGTAAACGACAAGACTAGTTAAAGTCTTCCCAAATCCCACCTGAGGTGGAAAGACGGAGCGGTTTCAAACTCTGTCGTCTTTTGTCACCTGGCATTTGTCGCCCCTCTAAAACAGCATTTGTGAGGAAAGCTGGAACAAAGCCACTGTTGTACTTGAAGGGCAACGCACACACAGGAAACGTCTAGCTGCTTCTCCCGTCAATAAAAATAGCTTTCAAGTCTAAGTCTACTCAGTATCTCTCCCTCCACCTCCAAATTTCGCTGAGAGAGGGTTTAAAAAAAACAATGAAAGAAAGAAGAAAACCCGCACTGTCGGGCACTGCACGCACGCAGTTCTCAGAAGTCTCTCTAGCAGTTTCGCTATGATTAGGGGCCAAGCGGCGCCGAGCAGCGGCCGAGGCGGGACGGGAAACCCCGCACGCCCCGCGGAGCGGCGCGCCCCGACGGCGAGGGGGCCCCGCGCGG